CATCGGCCGTTACGTCAGAGCGATAAAGGAAGTCATAGAAATCCGTGCGATAGACAAGGATGGTTACATTGAAGACGTTTCATAATCTGAATAGTCAGTCCCACTTCTAACCCAGTGGCTATTCAGATTATGAAACGTCATCACTATAGCCGTCCTTGTCTATCGCACGGATTTCTTTACTTTGTCACTCTCATGTAAAGGTAGATGGACCATGTGGATTTTCCAACCCTGTATACATTTTTTTTTATCACACATCTATTGCTGAGCCTCCAGCAACTATTGGCTGAATAGTCATCGGTGAAATATCTAATCGGGGAATCACAGCTGTACTATCATAGACCCGATACAATCTTAGAATATTATTTAACGTTTTGTAGTACTCCCTCGCATATCTGACAGTCACTGGAACAATTTACGTGCTGCATCCGGTGCACGGGCTTTAAAGGACGAAGGAAATTGAATACTGTTAAAATGTTTACCCCGAACATGAATTATTGATTGAAATGGCCGAGCCAGCGCAACATGCATGCGAAATGCTTCGAACATTCCCCGGTCCCGCCTAATTGAGGCCGAAAACGAAGCGACTTTAATAATTAATCACTCCCGGCCGATGAAAACAGGAAAAATGTTTGTGTGATATTGTTTTGTTTGCGTAAGGCTGGGAAATGTTGCGAAATTTGAACAATTGTTCAAATGTTGCCTTGTAAATTTCATTCTGGGGTGAGGACCCGGTGAGGAATAGACAAAGCGAATAACGAACAAACCGATTTTTGGAAGGGAACATTAGATGGGGTCTGAAAGGCCAAAAGGCCTTGGAAAAGTCAGTGAGTTATGACATTGACACTGCTGAATGCCGAGAACCTTGAAATTATGCATTTATACCATTTCGTTTTGAGTTATATACGGTGAGCCAGATTTAATACTGGTTCAGGGAGTCTGCGATAGTACTTTCGAAAGTAAATAGGAACATTTTCCCAAAATTGCTCCCTTTTCGGATATAGAGTAATAGGTTTCTAAAATAGCAGAGATATTCAAAATAAATTCATACTTAGATAGATGAGGTAATATCAAGTTCCATATATTAATATCATTAAAAAGTAGTACAGTTCTGTATCAAGTAACAACTTATACAGAGCCTTCATAAATGTTTACAACCCACGTGACCGCCGAGCTTGGGCAACCAACATTGCAGGGCTGGTACTGAGAATGAAGAATCCCTGAATAAAATTTTGGCGTCAGCAATATTAATAATACCTTCATTTCCAAAAGAAAAGTAAAAGTCGTTCAGCACAAAAAATAAATGATACGTTTACAGTGAACAATGACAAACCGTTACGTCTACTCTCGAGATAATGCGATCGCTGATTGGTTGAATAGAATCTCGTGAAAAATTACACCAATCACAGCCGATGAAACATAATATTGCTTTTTAATGTAATCTTCATCTTATTGTTTTAATTTTACTGAAGTTTAATTCCCAACGTGAAGGAAATAAAATTACTGTTCAAAACAAAATTACTGATCACGTGGCTTGTATAATTTATAGAGGCTCTATATTTTTCCAATTTTTTATTTTACGTTGGGAAAGTAAATATATTTTTCTAAAAGAGCATTCAAACAACTCGAAGGTATCTTATGATTATGATAATCTGTAAGTACTATTTTCGAGCAAATTGACACTTTATAAACCTTTTATACTTACATGTATTCCAGAAATCAAAAGAACTAGTTACCAATTTTATTTTCATATTTTGTTGATACATTTTATGAATTAAAATAAGAAAAAAATGTTGATTGCTCTTAAATTTCAGTGATGAAAACATTTAGCTTCAGTTTTTTAAATTAGTAAAATGTACTAGCAAAGTTTAAAAGCAATTCGTCACTTGATTTTTCGCTCAGAAGTCTTTTTTGTGTTAATACAGTGCTCTTAACGAAAATGGCGCAATTTATTTAAAAAGAAAAGCTTGCGGGAAGTAAATACTACTGTTAGATGACATTCTAGCATAGGTAAGACGTAATAACAATTCTACATCTATCAATGGTCACTAATACTCAATGCTTAGACCTTCAATCGGCCAAACTGACATAGAGCGACTTGCTGTTGAGGTACTATGAAAGCAAGACTGACGATATCGCTGGAAACTACTCTGCGAACTAATACCCCGATCGGCATTGAATTATACCCACAATATCTAGAAACAGCTAGGATCATTAATCAGCAGTGACCATTCATAGATGTAGCATTGTTACATTTCACTTATATTCATTCCATATCTGCTCCATTTCTGTAGTTCTCACTTGCGGCATTTTGATGAGAATAAGTTTAAAACCGGTATATGTCTGGTGGGTTCGGCTGACGGTTGATGAACGATCCAAGCTGTTTACTAGGTATAATTCAATGCTGGTATGGATATTATCTTCCCTTAATATCATTATACAGGGTGTCCCGTAAAGTATGTTACAAACTTTGGGTGGTGATAGTACATAAAAAAATATGACTAAAAACTCTAATAAACATAACCTCTTAAACGCACCATTTTGAAGTTACAGACCTTCAAAGGTGCAACTATAAAAGTAGTTTTTATGACGTAACTCTTTGTTGGAAAAAGAAAACTTAATGAAATTTTCAGGGGCTAATCAGCTTTAGGAAATCAATAAATAATGCGGATATGAATAAAATCGAGAAAGCAGAAGGGTGTTTTTTTATCACCCTGTATCCTATTTTTTGCTAAAAAAAATTTTTCTGCAAAGGTACAGCAAGTATCATAAGATTTTTAGAAAGACCATTAAATTTAGAAATTTTTTTGTCTCTTGTGTTTTTTATGTAAAATGTTTAGTTTTCTAGTAAATTTACAAAATGCAGAGAGATGAGTGCTTCCGAATTATTTACATACATTTCTTAAGCCTAGTGAATTTTTAAGAATACAATCAATTTCCAAAATAATTTTTTTAATTAAGTAACCAAAACAGAACTAAAACAAAATATGTTATTATAATAAATGTTGAAATTGACCTCCTTCTGCATCGATACATGCTGTCAGTCTCTTTATAAAGTTAAATCTGACTCTTTGGAATATGAATAGACTATTTCTTATTAAATTAAAGGTTTCTACAATTCGCAGTCTAAGTTGATCTTCTGTATCAACAGGGGTTGCATAAACTTGAGATTTCGCGTGTCCCCAAAGATAAAAATCGACAGGATTCAAGTCCGGTGATCGCGGTGGCCAGGCTATTGGTGCATTATATCCTCTTCCAATCCATCGATTAGGAAACCGCATATGTAGATACTCTCTAACATGAACACTGAAATGCGCAGGTGCCCCGTCATGGAGGTACCACATGTATTGTCTCAAATTTAAAGGAACATTTTCCATTAACTCAGGGAGATGGTTTTCTAGGAAGTTTAAATATTCTACTGCATCAAGCCTTTGAGGTAGAAAGAAAGGCCCGAGCAAATAGTCACCTATTATTCCAGCCCATACGTTGACTGAGAATCGGTGTTGGTGATGACTATCAATGGTAGCATGAGGATTTTCGTCTGACCATGCATGTGCATTGTGCAAGTTCAGTAAACCATCTCGTGTAAAGGTGGCTTCATCGGTAAATAAAATGGAGCTAATAAATTCCACATTATGTTGGTGATGGTTAAGTATTATTCGGCAGAATTCTAGGCGTCGGGGAAGATCTTCAGGCATTAAATGTTGCACTTTTTGGAGATGGTAGGCATAAAGGCCGTTTTCCTTCAAAACACGCCAAACTGACATTCTGGAAAGCTGTAACTGATTAGCTGCCCTTCGCACACTTTCTCCCGGATTTTGTTCAAAAGATCTCAAAATTTGTTCATCTTGCGCGGGTAGTCTTCTAGCAATTCTACCACAATGTATGTAACGGGGTACCACACTACCAGTTTCAATAATCCGTCTGTGAATCCGAGTAAATAATTGTGTAGACGGCTGACGTCTCTGCGGATAACGTTCTATGTATGTTCTTCGAGCAGCTGTTGCATTTCCATTACATAATCCATAAATAAAATGCATTTCGGCATATTCTTGATTAGTAAAACGATTGTTATCCGCCATTGTACTCACAAATTAATAATTCGTCAACAGACACGATTAAAATATGGTAACAAATGTCAACTATGTTAAAAGTGACAGGCGCCTACTTTTTGAATACGTCAAATTTAACACCTAGCAGTGAGTAAACTCCCTTTGAATTTTGTAAATTTATTAGAAAACTAATCATTTTACATAAAAAATGCAAGAGACAAAAGAATTTCTAAATTCAATGGTCTTTCTAAAAATCTTATGATACTTGCTGTACCTTTGCAGAAAAATTTTTTTTAGCAAAAAATAGGATACAGGGTGATAAAAAAACACCCTTCTGCTTTCTCGATTTTATTCATATCCGCATTATTTATTGATTTCCTAAAGCTGATTAGGCCCTGAAAATTTCATTAAGTTTTCTTTTTCCAACAAAGAGTTACGTCATAAAAACTGCTTTTATAGTTGCACCTTTGAAGGTCTGTAACTTCAAAATGGTGCGTTTAGGAGGTTATGTGTATTAGAGTTTTTAGTCATATTTTTTTATGTACTATCACCACCCAAAGTTTGTAACATACTTTACGGGACACCCTGTATAGTTAGAAGTGCAGTGTACTATTTGCAAAACAATTTTAAGTTAAGTGAAATATTTGCTAAAGAAATGACTAAGAGCGGTCAAAAGTATTTTTAAGTGGAAATGTAAAATGTTAACGACATTGATAACTCATGGAAAACTGAAGGAGGGTAATTATTATGAATTGAACGTTTTCCATACAAAACTGTCTGTTCTTGTAGCGTCCTACATGGTAAATTTTAAAGTGGAAATCTCATGAAATAAAGTTCTATATAAATACTTTCATCTCGTGGAATATCATTGTTTAACATTTTTATTGTATGCGATTGTTTTCATGCACCTTTTTACTAGAATTATATAATTAAACGTAGACTTTTTCATAGGTCTCGAAGATGACCGGGAATTCCCTGTCGAAATCCTTCCATACCTCTTCCTTGGCAATGCCGCAAACAGCGAGGATAGTCAGGCTCTGGCCAGGCATAGTATACAGGTAACTACAATTACAGTTTATCTCAAATGCTTGTATCTTGTCCGCTTTTATTTTTCCTAGAAATGTACTAGCAAGGAAATCACCAAAATAAGTAAATATATTTTTCAGTATGTGCTCAACGTCACACCTGACTTGCCCAACGTTTTTGAAGACCTGGGCAGTATAAAGTACATGCAGATCCCAATTACAGACCATTGGTCGCAGAATTTAGCAAGTCACTTTCCCAAAGCCATAGAATTTATTGGTAAGTTTAACTTTCTTATTGAGATTCTGGTATATAAATCATTGAGCAGTTTGAAGCTTGTTAAGAGAGATATAGGTATTGCAGATAACTTCCATAATAGATTTCGATGATGCTTACTTTATTTTCTTGGAAAACAATGTATGTAATTTCTGGGAAAGCCTAAATAATATTATGGTTACGAATAAACTAGCTTTCTGTAATATAATGAAACTCAAATCCCAGAAGCCGTAAACTGTTTTATAAATCTTTATTTCAGAATATTTAATAACTAAGTTATATCAGAAGATAAAGGCGTTTATAGCTATAGTGAAACTTCTGATTCCATGCAAGAATTACATCAGCAATCATCAGCGTACTAGCGGAAATTTTCAGTACTACGAATACATCTTGCTTCTAAGATAATAAATTCATATCTTGGAATTATTTTGCGAAAAATTAAACCGTACACCCACCTGGGCATTGTAGTTTTTATACAGTGTTTTCAAATGAAGTGTATACATACACCCATACCAAATAATGTTACAATCCAACTGTGTCAATATTAAAAAATTTTGTGACAATAAATAACATAACTTTTAAATTAGGTGGTGTAAAAAATAAAAAAAAATAATAAAAGGGTTATGCAGGTGGTAGCAGACCATCTGGTCTGTGAGAGCAGAATTGTTGACTACATACTTTGGCATATATGAAAAAGTACTGTTGGCGAGTGTAAATTTGTCTCGATAATCTAGGTTTTCCCAAAATAATTTTTGGAACCTTCTAAAATGATACGTTTATGGAATCGCATCCTCCGCAGGGTCTACATGTTGAATATGAGTTACTGCCTACTGTTTCAACACTGGAGTATATTCACTGCTAAATTTATGCATTTATTGAATTTTGTGTTAACTATTGCCATTAATGTAATTTTGGTTGCATTAACTATCACAGGCGTATAAGACACGAGAAAGTTTCTATTCAGAAATTTGAAGAGAGTAATCGTTTAATAGAAGTTATTTTTTGCTCATTGAAACGTGGCTTGAGGACATCAGTATGGCTATAAAGTTTTATGCTTTTTTTGGGGGTGAAGAGGTCTTTCCGTCCCAGCCGCATTAGCGTATATATACAATAGATTTGCATAGATACGTATAGTGGGGACCTCGACCGCCTCACGGAGGCACGTGAATGGAACCACCGCTCCCTAGGCGGCGTGACCTAGATCGCTGCGCCATTCATGTCTGCTCAATGGAAATGGAGGAGGGTTGGAACGGAGACAGAGTATTGCTTAGTCAGCCTGTATTTTTTTTGTGACAGCAGGTCCGTACCATTCAGGCCGAGAGCCGAGGGGAGTACACTGCGAATATTTTAATGGGAATTATCACCGGGCCAAATTTGATTTGTGAAAATACAAAATCGGCAACCTACAGCGATAATATGTGGTGGCGTTATAATATAGATACCGAGAATTATAATTATAATACGGAAAAAAATGGTACCAAAATTTCATACAGGATATAGTGCAGTTTTTTTGTACCCTACTTTTAAAGCCTAGCCCAGATCTACAATGTCCATAGACAGGTGTTTATACAAATGCCCGATGCAAAAACAAAACCACTTGGTGGTGAGCAAAATCAGTCGAGTTGAAAATAAATAATATTGTTGGTTTTCAAAAATAACAGTGATTTTGAAACTTTAACTCAAAAGATTTAATAGTGTCAAGTTTTAGTCGATGCTGAACCAAAATTATTTTTTCAAATAATTTTCTCATATAATAATTTTATAACAATTATAATAAAAAAATATTTTTTTAAGTAAAATAAAATTTATAATTAAAAAGAAAATTATAAATTACAAATAAAATAAAACAACATAATATACATTTACATAAAAATCAACTGATTCAATTCAACTTGAGAAAGATGATTTTTTGTATTTTTTTTATTTGTACTTTTGTTCACACTACACTTTTGTTAAATATTTTTGTTTTGGAGCTTTCAAATAATGAATATATAAAAACAAAAAACAGATGTATAAGTGTACTTACACATAAGTTTGCAAACAGGTTTTAAACACGTTCTTGAATATTTGGTGTCAAAAGTGTGTAGATTTGCACTAGGTCGTCACAAAAGACTGGTCTTCAGAATCACAGAATGATTGAAGTGTTTGGAAATCGCAGCCGGTGCCTGTCTCTGTCAATGCTACAGATTTTTATATGCTAAACATGGTGTTAGAAACAGGCTGCGTTCCCCAAACGCTTCAATCATTCTGGATCTCTCGGTATAATTTGTGACGAAGTTTGCAGGTTTCAAATGGGGTACCACGACCATGTATCCTTTTTACAATGAAATATTTAACAAATTTTAGCACAAAACGACATTGTTCAGGGTTATGGGCGTTAATGACTTTCCATGTATATTTAAAGTTAACAGAGCCTAGATAGACTGTGGTATCGCTATATTTGCAGTATAATAGAAACAGCTCATTGTTATCGACACTAAAGCAAGGAAATTAATTATAAAATATCAATTTTCTAAATATGTATTACAATAACAGCGTGGTTCAGATTTGTATGTGAAAATGGACGTAATAATAATTATTTATTGGATATATAAAGCATTACTATTTTTGCTTAATTAGTATACACCTTTTCTTGGTAAATTTTAAATAGAAGTGATGTTAATTTTGGATAAAATAACCGAGTAAGTTTATAGGACTATTATTTTGAAATATCATTAAGGTAACTGAGAGTCGGTTTAACTCCTGAATTACTTAAATTTCGAGAATTGTTAAATTAAGGCTGAAAATTGCAGTAGGGGTACTTTATTTGGACCCAATCTTATACTGCTATAGATAACTTTTTATTTTCCGAAATGTTGAATATTTTGTTAGTATTAATTAATGTTATCGGTAAATTGTGTTTATTTTTAATACGTATGAGTACCTTGTACGTCCTGATTGATTTGACTCTAAGCTCTAAGTGACACCACCTAAGTTTTAGATTAGAAAAATCTCTTGAAAAGCCAAATAAAATTTTCTGAATAGTTAATATTGGGAGACACAATTTAATGTTCAAAGTAATACATTTTTTATTATTTTGAATACTGCATTTTCTAGAAAAATATATTTTATTAGTGTTAAGATGAATTTATTGTTTTTGTTCCTGGTATTATTATTAAAATATTTTTTTTATTGTCAATTTTTAGAAGAGATAATTTTTTACTTTGCAATTGCATATTATCCACAACATAAATTTCATTGAAACCTTATCTTTCCAAGAATACCGGAAGGCGAGAATTAGAATTCATTCAATGCGATGGTTATGGTTTTAATACAGATTAATAAAAATTCTTATCAAGTCACTGCCGCTTATCTTAATCGCCATATGTAATAACGGTATATCCATAAATAACGCAATTGATAATAAGATAATGGGAATGGAGAGAGATGGCATGATGCGAGGCCCTTTTAATTTATATTTTTAGCGGCTGTTGCAAGGTGCATTGAAATTGGAGTTCCCATTTGTGTTAGATAATCCTGGAAAACCTATATAATTAGGGAATTTGGTCACCGATGTTTACTTTTTGCGAAATTTTATTTTTGTTCACTTGAAATTGCTTTTTCACTTAACCAAAAGTATGTCATTATCCAACTTTGTTCCGTTATTTTTTTTCATAATTACCATTGATATTAATGCTGAAGGAACAGTTAAGCATTTATTTATTTGCGTTGTTATCACTTTCGTTAAATTTTAATTTTGTTTCTAAAAATTTACAAGATTGAAACTCAAAAAAATTAAATCATCAACTCAAACGTTTTATACGTTCTGATGTGAATAATTCCGTTTGCAATTTAAAAACAATTTGTCGTTTCAATATTTATCTCCACTATCTTAATTTTATTAATTCTTTCTTCCTAAAACTTACTAGTGCAAAATAAATCTGCTGAAATAGATCACTCATTGATATTTAATAAATCGAGATTCGTTTTACAAGTCTTTCAACTTGAATCAATTGTTTTTTAAATTTAAATAGGGTCGTTTGCATTGCAATTCGTCTTTATTATAAGAAGCAATAGACAACCAGTTAAACTTAGGGATGAGATTATAGATGGCAGTACATCAAAAAAAACTCCTGTCATTCCAATTATACTGTAAATAAAAATGACGGGGATGTCTTGTGCGTGTCTAGTATTCTCATCCTTAAGTTTTAACGATATATACAAACAAGGACCATATTCGTATTATTTGTGTTAACCAAGTATATAGAAAATTTTAAAATTGCAAACGTACTGAAAAGCGACAATTTATAGATATTCACGAGATTAACAGAAAGTGACATCTATTATATGAATTTAAAATTACACTTATAGGAAAATTTCCTGTTGTGTATTTGATTATTTTTATCATTTTTTGCAATATTCTTTAACTGCCTGTAAGTAAGTATAAATAAACAATTTTATGTCGTTTCATGGCAATTGCTGTATGTAAAGCGCAAATACATCTGGAGCTTCCATATTTTTAATCCGACATGATACATGTCCAGTTTCAAACAAATACGTCGCTAATGGATTGGATTTTCCTGTAACTGTAATGTATTTTAAAAAAGAAAGAGCTACAGAAACTTGAGGAGGAATATAATACAAAATTATGACTTGTTTCAGTTGTTGTATCGAACGGAAACAGCTCCATCTCTTGGTTGCTTACCAATACGTTACGGTTTAATAAAAAAATAATTATTAATGATTTTCTGGCAACTAATTTTTCTAATGTCTACACCCCGTGAAGATTCCGGCCCTGTCGGAACTCCCGTTCAGGGCGTTCATTGGGGTCCTATTGATTTTTGGAATTAGCGTGGGTGGCGTGCCGCTGAAATTTCAGCACGATACCGCCGCCCACGCACACTTAAATAAATGCCCCCACCGAACGGGATAGACAGCGGGAAGAGGATTCGCCGACCATGCCAGGCTGCATATTTCCACAACCTACTAGGGGAAGCCGAAGAGAAGTCAGCTTCTATTGTCCA